TAGCTTATAGATCTCTTGATCGAGCTGCTTTCAAGTGTTTCTCTTTGTCTCTGAAACTTGTAAGCTCTACTATTAGATGTCGAGGTGTTGACCTATTTTTATTGATTTTGAGGGGGGTTCTCTGTGCCTCCTGAATTTTGATGCTTGTTTCCTTCCCCAAATTAGTGAAGTTCTCTGCTATAATTACCTTGATCCCAAAACCAGACAAAGACCCCATCAAAAGGAGAATTACAGACCAATATCCTTGAACATGGCTGCAAGAATTCTCACCAAAATACTAGCAGTAGGATCCAACAGTACATTAAAAGGATTATTCACCGTGACCAAGTGGGATTTATCCCTGGGCTGCGGGGTTGGTTCAACATCTGCAAATCAATCAATGTGATACAATACATTACTAAAAGAAAGAACAAGAACCATATGATCCTCTCAATAGATGCAGAAAAAGCATTTGACAAAGTACAGCATCCTTTCTTGATGAAAACTCTTCAGAGTATAGGCATAGAGGGTACATACTTCAATATCATAAAAGCCATCTATGAAAAACCCACAGCGAATATCATTCTCAGTGGGGAAAAACTGAGAGCTTTCACCCTAAGGTCAGGAACGCGGCAGGGATGTCCACTCTCACCACTGCTATTCAACATAGTATTAGAAGTCCTAGCCACAGCAATCAGACAACAAAAAGAAATAAAAGGCATCCAGATCGGCAAAGAGGAAGTCAAACTCTCACTCTTTGCAGATGATGTGATATGTTATGTGGAAAACCCAAAAGACTCCACCCCAAAACTGCTAGAACTCATACAGGAATTCAGTAAAGTGGCAGGATATAAAATCAATGCACAGAAATCAGTGGCATTCCTATACACCAACAACAAGACAGAAGAAAGAGAAATTAAGGAGTCATCCCATTTACAATTGCACCCAAAACCATAAGATACCTAGGAATAAATCTCACCAGAGGCAAAGAATCTGTACTCAGAAAATTATAAAATACTCATGAAAGAAACTGAGGAAGACACAAAGAAATGGAAAAATGTTCCATGCTCATTGATTGGAAGAACAAAAATTCTGAAAATGTCAATGCTACCTATAGCAATCTACACATTTAATGCAATCCCTATCAAAATACCATCCACTTTTTTCAAAGAAATGTAACAAATAATCCTAAAATTTGTATGGAACCAGAAAAGACCCGGAATAGCCAGAGGAATGTTGAAAAAGAATAGCAAAGCTGGTGGCATCACAATTCCGGACTTTAGCTCTAATACAAAGCTGTCATCATCAAGACAGTATGGTACTGGCACAAAAACAGACACATAGATCAATGGAACAGAATAGAGAGCCCAGAAATGGACCCTCAACTCCATGGTCAACTCATCTTCGACAAAGCAGGAAAGAATGTCCAATGGAAAAAAGACAGTCTCTTCAACAAATGGTGTTGGGAAAATTGGACAGCCATATGCTGAAGAATGAAACTGGACCATTTCCTTACACCACACACAAAAATAGACTCAAAATGGTTGAAAGACCTCAGTGTGAGACAGGAGTCCATCAAAATCCAAAAAGAGAACACAGGCAGCAACCTCTTTGACCTCAGCTGCAGCAACTTCTTCCTAGAAACATCGCTAAAGGCAAGGGAAGCAAGGGCAAAAATGAACTATTGGACTTCATCAAGATAAAAAGCTTTTGCACAGTAAAAGAAACAGTCAACAAAACCAAAAGACAACCGACAGAATGGGAGAAGATATTTGCAAATGACATATCAGATAAAGGGCTAGTATCCAAAATCTATAAAGAACTTATCAAACTCCACACCCAAAGAACAAATAATCCAATCAAGAAATGGGCAGAAGACATGAACAGACATTTTTCCAAAGAAGACATCCAAATCACCAACAGACACATGAAAAAGAGCTCAAGATTGCTCGGCATCAGGGAAGTCCAAATCAAAACCTCAATGAGATACCACCTCACACCAGTCAGAATGGCTAAAATGAACAAGTCAGGAAACGACAGATGTTGGTGGGGATGCAGAGAAAGGGGAACCCTCCTACACTGTTGGTGAGAATGGAAGCTGGTGTAGCCACTCTGGAAAACAGTATGGAGGTTCCTCAAAAAGTTGAAAATACAGCTACCATACGACCCAGCAATTGCATTACTGGGTATTTACCCCAAAGATACAAGTGTAGTTATCTGAAGGGGTTCGTGCATCCCGATGTTTATAGCAGCAATGTCCACAGCTAAATGTCCATAGCCAAACTATGGAAAGAGCCAAGATGTCCATCGACAGATGAATGCATAAAGAAGGTGTGGTATATATATACAATTATGCAGCCATCAAAAGGAATGAAATCTTGTCATTTGCAACAACGTGGATGGAACGGGAAGGTATTATGCTTAGCGAAATAAGTCAGAGAAAGACAAGTATCATATGATCTCAGTGATATGAGGAATTCTTAATCTCAGGAAACAAGCTGAGGGTTTCTGGAGTGGTGGGGCGTGGGAGGGATGGGGTGGCTGGTGATAGACATTGGGGAGGGTATGTGCTATGGTGAGCACTGTGAATTGTATAACACTGTTGAATCGCAGACCTGTACCTCTGAAACAAATAATATATTATATGTTAAAAAAATATAGTAGGATTGGTAAAGTGTAGGGGGGCAGTCGGAGGTGGAGAGAAACCATGAGAGACTATGGACTCTGAAAAACAAACTGAGGGTTTTAGAGGGGAGGGTGTTGGGGGGATGGGTTAGCCTGTTGATGGGTATTAAAGAAGGCACATACTGAATGGAGCACTGGGTGTTATACACAAACAATCATGGAACACTATGTCAAAAACTAATGATGTAATGTATGGTGATTAACATAATAAAATTTAAAAAAAAAGTAAAAATGAAAAAAGAAAAGATGCTTAATATGATTTAAGTCTTCAACTTATTGAGATTTGCTTTGTGACATATCATGAGATCTAATCTCATGGATTCATCTTTTTCGGGGTTCCTGGATATCTGTTTTCTTACCCAAATTAGGGAAGTTTTCAGCTGTTATTTCTTCAAATAAGTTTTCTGCTCCCTTCTCTCTGTTTCTCCTTCTGGGAACTCTATATTGCAAAAGTTATGTTTAATGTTGTTGCAGAGGTCCCTTAACTTGTCCTCATTTAAAAAATTTCTTTTGCTGTTCAACTTAGTTGCTTTTCAATACCTTGTCTTCCAGCTTACAGATCTGTTCTTCTGGTTCCTCTACTCTGATGTGGATTCCCTCTAGTGTTCTCATTTTAGTTGTTGTACTTTTTAGTTTTGGTGGGTTTCTTTTTATATTTTCTGTCTCTTTGTTGAAGTTCTTACTGAATTCATCCACTCTTTTCTCAAGTCTGGTGAGCATCTTTATGAACATTAGTTCTTTTTCTGAGGTCATATTCTTTTGTTTGGAACATCTTCCTCTGTCTCCTAATTTTTGTCTCAGTTTGTGTTTGTTTCTATGAATTAGGTGGAACAGGTACCTCTCCCAGTCTTGAAGAAGTGGCCTTACTTAAGAATGTCCCCTGTGTAGACTGTGTGCTTAGTGGCTTTGGCTAGCTGATTGGTGCTGGATGGGTGTTGGCTGGGGCACTCTGCACAGGAGACACCCTTGTCAGGTCAGCTGGAGCTGAAGCAAGTGTAATTGAGGGGTTCCTGGAGTGCTTTGCATGGTCACCCTGAAGGGACAGCTGAAAGGGAGCAGGCTCAGGTCACGGGTTTTTGGAGTGCTCCACATTGGGGCTGCTTTGGTGGGATGGCTGCAGATGGCATGGGAGCAGGCCAGGTATGATGTGGGTGCTTTGTGCCTGGGTCACCTTGGTGGGACAGCTGGAGCTGGTTTGGGTTAGGGGACTGAGTACCTCTGACTCTGGAGAGAGTTCCAGCAGTTAAGCCCATTTGACAGACATTCTAAGGTTAGTAAATGAATTTCCTTCACTTAATAGTCTATTTTCCCTTTAAACTATGTGTTTTGTTTTGATTTTCTGTTCCCCAGGGTGGGCAAGTCTGCACATGGGCCCCGCAGTTCTATCTCTCCCTACTATAGGTTGCCACATTGGGGGTGGGTGTTCTCAATGTTACTGTGTCTCTGCTATTCCTACCCTCCTTTATGTGGTCCCTCTATTCTTTGTTGTGTAGAAGCTGTCCAATCAGCCCTTAGTTCTTCAGGAGGAATTGCTCTGTATGTAGGTATAGATTTGGTATGTCTGGGAACTGAGTTCAGGGTATTTCTACGCTTCTATCTTGGACCGCCTCCTATTATAGCGTGTTCTTATAAGGTAGCAAACTAGATGGAAGTAAAAGCCTCTCTCAGCATATTCCCATCTATGTGATAGTATTTTCTACTTTATCTTGTGTGTGTGTGTGTGTGTGTGTGTGTTAGGAGTGAGAGTGAGGGGAAGGGGGAAGAAGAGAGACTGTCCTAATGTCTTTCCTTCTCTCCCTGTAGTTTTCTATCTTTTAAAATTATTTTTTCTTTATATCTCCTCTTTTAAAAATAGATAAATGGAAATTCTCTATTTCTCACTTATACTTTACTTGGGTATCCAGTCTCACTATATCTCTCAAACTTCAGTATATGTAAGGATTTCCAGGGATACCTTGTAGAAAATACAGATTTCCAGGCCTTTCAGAAATTCTTTTTCATGAGGTCTGCAGTGGGGCCCAGTTTCTGGGAGCCTCAACCCTTCATATTCTAATGCAAGGAATCAAGGAACCACACTTTGAAAATACTTTTTCTGTGACAATTCCTGCTATTGCTATAAACAGTAGCTATGTGTGATATTTTCCCTACTGATTTTAATTGCATTAATGTCAACCAGCCAGTTATCTGCATTTTCTTAGAAATTATGTTCAAAGGCATAGGTATTTGATTCATAAAGATATCTGTAGACCACTTTTATACTAAATTAATTTGCTTAGTTTATTTTACATTTCCACAATTATAAATATTGTGAATTAACAACTTTGCTTCAACTATAGGAGAATGCAAAAACACTCCAGGAGAGAAGCATTGCTTATATCAACTCAGATTCATCTATAGAAGGTATATTTTATTTCAGATTATGAAACCATGTACCATCTTTTAAGTCTGCAAATTGTAACTAACTTGTAAACTAAGGTTATTTTCTTCCTATGAAATTCTTCAATGATACCTTCATTTTCCATTTTATCACAGGGAAAATCATGATTCAAATGAATGAGTGTATGATTCATAATTAAACTACTGATCATAATTTTAGTATATTTGCTATTTGCCTATCTTGAATTACTACTTAAAACTCTAGTATTAATATTAATCATATTCTTCCTGTGGAGATATTAAACAAATTAGGCTAAAATATTTCAGAATATTTTACAGAATATTTATATAGAAATACCTCCTGTATGTTTTGGAACAATTTGAAGTAAACACAGACTTCCCTTGGAACTCAACATGTGACATTTGTGTCTCTAAGCTTTCATTGTATGATGATGTCTAGGTAATGTTAGAGCATACTTACGAGTTACTGAAATGCTCTAGTCTTATGTCTTGATACTGTTGAATTGAGTAAATAAAGAATGGGTGGTATAACTTTATCACTTCCTTTGCCAAAGTCCCCCTAAGAGATAGCACCTTAAGAATGATGCTAGGATTACTGTGGGACTTGCTGCCTTAGCATCCAAACCCTCCTATACACTGCAACCTCTCTTGCTCCTGAGGAACTATTTCCACTCCATTCTAATTCCTTGAGAATGATGCCTTCAATTTCAAGTCTATTATACCTTGTTTACAATTAGAAATAGAATTAGACTTCTATTGGAATTTCATTTGGAAGTATTAAAATATAGTCTATTTTTTTCAGGCAATTATACTCTCAGAGTTGACTGTACACCTCTTCTTTACCAATTGGTGTATAAACTAACAAAAGAGGTAAATAAATCTGTCTTAATGTCTTCTGATGAATGGATAAGTGAATGACACTTGTTTTCTTAATTAGTGGTACTGATTTTTAAACTGGTGAGAGATATAGCTGATTTGTGTATATACCAAGTCAGAACAAAATCTTTAATACAGTATTTAAATGACCTAACTATAAAAATAGTATTGCTAGTCTCTTCTAATAGTAGCTATTAATAATTGTGTGCACTGTTGTCAAGTATTAGGTACATAATTTCATGTGGTAGAGGCATTTTGATAGAACAGAACACTGAGCTGAAAATGGAAAAGGTCTTGGGTTCAGACCCTATAAAGTGAATTCTAGCAGCAGCAACAATAAAAAGACATGGTCACTGAATCCAAATACTTAGTAATCCAGAGAGGATACACTCTTGTAAATAAGGATTTATACTTCAGTAGAATATTGGGTACTACCAACAATGGAGAACAATTACGGAATAGAGAATCTGAAATCCTGGGGTAGCTGGGGAAGCATGAGGAGAGGTTTATAGAATAATTAGTGCTTGGCCTATAAAATGGAAGGATGTGAAAGTAAGAGAGAAGGCATTCTCAGCATAGAACACAGTACCTAAAACAGATGTGGAGATATGAAAGAGAATATTTCCTGACCTCTAGGTGGCTCAGTGAGACATGAACATAAGATTTTGGTGGAAAGATGGTAAGAAATGGGGCTGAGAAATAGGCCAAATTCAGAAATCTGGCGATAGAGAAATTAAAAATCTTTAACAAGGTTATACATTATCATATTTGTTCATTAGAAAGATCACTCTGTATTAGTGTAGTGAATAGATTAAGCTGTAGCACCTCTAACAGCAAAATGAAAATAATTCTTATCATATAGGAATTTTGTAAATATTGGTAAAAAAGTACTCTGAACTCTAATGTACTCTAAAAATTATGTAATCTATTCACTTAACAGATCTGTGTACTTCATTTAAATAGTTCATTGTAGAATTTAATTACAGAAATATTTCTTTGATGTATCACTTTACATTACAATGTGAAGTAGTGTCACTTTTCTGAAGGTACTGTTTCCTACTTTCCCTTATTATTGCCCTTTCCTTTTTCCTGTTAGTGTCTATAAAAACTAGTTTTCTCAAATGAGAGTTCTCTCATTATTCCCATCACAACTCTCAACATATTGGGTAGCTTGTGTTCTTGATCCTTTTATTGGAATGTCCTATAAAAAAAATCTTATCTAAAAGCCTGAGAAAATCCTTCTCAGCATATACATTTATGCTTCGTGCTGTCCTAGAGATGGCTCCTGCCTTTGATCTCAAGAATAAGAAGAATTTTCAGGGTGCCTGGGTGGCTTAGTCAGTTAAGCGTCTGACTCTTGATTTTGACTCAGGTCGTGAGATCGAGCCGTGTCAGCATGGAGCCTGCTTGAGATGCTCTTTCCCTCTGCTCCTCCCCCCATGCTTGTGCTCTTTCAAAATAAAAGAGTATGAATGTTAGGGCCAACAGGGATATGTTTAGGTCTATGCCCCTTTGTACAGAGGCAGATGCTTATCTATGGCCATACCAAAACCCAGTAGAAAAAGACTTGTATTCTCCCGTGAACTGATTATTACAATTTTACTAACCCCTAGTGTGTGTTGGCACAGTCAAACCATGCTGGTAACATGAGAATAGGATAAGAGTTGTAGAGGGCAGAGCTTAGAGAGAAGGGCAGCTGCCTGATAAAAGAAAGAAATGGGACAGGGTGTTGAAATAATGGAGGAGGGTCAGCATCTATGAAGGTGTGTATATCAGAGACAGAAAGTATGATTCAGGGAGACCAGGCTGAAGGGACACCATTCTGGTTAGTGCTAGACTGAGATGGTGATTCCAGAAAATGAAAGGATTTTTCGGGGAATTCAATCTAAGTAGGATGTGGGAGTCAGAACAGGTTCTTAGCTATTGCAAGTTGTCAGGAGCAGAGTAGAGTAGAACCCAGTGAGTTGGCTAGAAATGAACAGAACATCTCTGCAGCTGCAACATGCAAAGGTATGACTGTGGAGTGCCAGGACTGTTTCTAAGCCCAGGGTTGCATATGCAATGGTGAGGTAACAACCAACTCTGTATAAGGCCAGAGAAAATATCAGAGGAACTGATATTTATGTTAAGATGGGGACCATTATCCCCACTTCCACAAAACTAGGGCTTCAAGAGGGGAAGCAGTACACCAAAGGTTATAATGCTTTCAGAGCTGCATAAGTAGGGTATGCCCCTTTTTTTTGAACAAAGTAGAGCTATAACCAAATTTTAGGCAGGTATGTGTGATAATATGGATTTTTAAAATAGATGTTAGCCTTCAAAGTCTGCAATTTTTCTCCCACGTGACCCTGCTTTTCTTCAAGTGGAGAAAGAAAAGTTATGTTTGTGGGCATACTTTTAATGAGGGTAGTAAAAAAGGTTCATGCATTACAGAAGCTCTTAGAATTTCCAAAGAGAAATCTGAGGTTATACAGAGCTTTTAAAACCCATCAAATTCCAACTTTGTTTAAATATAATTTGACTTTCTAAAATGGCATTTCCTCCTTATCCCACTTGCCCTACAAAACCAGGACTTACATTGCCAATTTCAAGCTTAGATTCCTTAGGCATATCTGTTGCCCTGAGGCCTTTTTTTATAGGTCTTCTTGGACAAAAGCAATTTACTAAAGTAAATCTTTCTAAAGTTTGCCCCAGTAACTTGCCACTAAAAGAGATCTAAGCTCTCAAAAATCAAAGTGATGACATTTTTAAAAAATCTGGAACTCTAGTAAAAAGCTTACCAAAAGAAGCAGGAAATTTATCCCATGTCTCTGGCAAAATTACCATTAGGCAGACAACAAAAATGAACAAGAATTTGGTTGGAGTTTTTTCTTGCCAATTGCTTTTGTTTTTCTATAAAGAACATAACACATATCCATATAGCAAGAAGTTGATAACATATGGTCAGATTTTAGTTACTTCTGCCTCTAATTCACAATATTTGATTTTTTTCATTCCAGATCTCCAGCCCAGATGATGGTTTTGAGAGTAAATCTCTTTATGAAAGCTGGTTGGAAAAGGACCCTTCATCTGAAAATATAAATTTTCCTAGGTAAATTACTAGGATAAATTATAATTGTAAATTATGAATTCCCCTTTGCCCCTTGTTTCCCCAGACATGCAATTCTTAGATGTGTCAACAATTTGAGTAGAGGAAAGATAATCCCAGAGAATCCCTCGTAGCATTTGATTTGCTAATCGGACAGAATAGCCATCATTCAATTTATAATAGATTCTAGTTTTGCAGACTTTTAGTCAAAATTATTTTGCCACATTATCAGGTATTGCTTTGCATTCTTGCATTAAATTTCAAATATGTGTTAGATATATTAATAAATCATGTAACTCCAAATGAGTTACAATAGCAGCTTCCTTGAATTTTTTGTTTCTCCTGCAATACTATTTCTAAAAACTAGTAAGAGTGTATAGCTTCATTCCATATTCCAAATAAGTCTTGTGGAAGTTTGCATTTCCACTATAAAAGTTTCACATGCTTATTAAAAAAAAATTACTGGAGTAGAAAAAAAGGTTTTAAAAACATCCAAGGTCAGGAGCACCTGGGTGGCCCTATTGGTTAAGCGTCCACCTTTGGCTCAGGTCATGATCTCAGGGTCCTGGGATAAATAAAATCTTAAAAAAAAAATCCAAGGTCTAAATCTCAACACATAATAGTTTGGAAGTATATAGTTATGTTCCTAATGCATATTCTGCTTTACTCACCATTTTATTAAGAATTTTTCTGTTATTATATATGTATATATAAATATGTATGTAGTGGTTTTCTTTACTATATGCAAAGAAATGTATTTTGATTAAATTTCTAAATAAGGCACATTGAGATTCTTAATGATCTTAAATATTTTTATTTGTTCTTAATTTTTATTTTAAATATACTTTATCATGGCAGTTTTTTTTTAAAGATTTTATTTGACAGAGAGAGAGAAAAAAACAAAACAAAACACAAGTAGGAGAGGCAGAGGGAGAAGCAGACTCCCTGCTGAGCAAGGAGCCCGATGCGGGGCTCGATCCCAGGACCCTGGATCATGACCTGAGCCACCCAGGTGTCCCTCATGGCAGTTTTCTTAGTAGATTATAGTTCTCTGAGAGTAACCAAATCTTATTTTCCCCTCTAAATAAATGCCATAAAATGCTGAAAATATTAGAGAGACTATAGTCTCGGGCTCCCTGCTCAGTGGGAGTCTGCTTCTCCCTCTGCCTGCCGCTCCCCCTGCTTGTGCTCTCTCTCACTCTGTCAAATAAATAAATAAAATCCTTAAAAAAAAAAAA